GCGACAAAGACGGGTCTGTGCAATGAACATTATAGTCTTGATGGGGGCATTCAGGTGAACAAGAGAAAGCAAAATGAAAAAAACTTTTTTCGTCCAAAGACTCAAAGCAAGTCGAATGCGAATTGCTATGTGGAGGGAGAAAGAGAGATAAGTGAAAAAAATTCTGCACATAATGTCGATATCTCTCTCACCCCTAGCCTATAGGTGAAGAGAGGGCCAGTTTTATCAGCAAAAAAAAAAAGCAATAAGAAGCATTCATCTCTTCGTATTCTCCTCGAGTTGTTCAGTTCCCCAACTGGAGTACAGTAGAGAGAAGAACACAAGAGCTTGGCTGGAGGCGAATATGCAAGGGGGAAGGGGGGGAAAAGAAAAATGAAAGTGAAAACGGGAACAAAGATTGTGCATTGTAATCACATGAAACCAAAACTGCATATGCGGTGCTAGCACTCCCATCAGAGGAGTCAGATGCATTGTCATCGCAGCCACACAATGGCGCCTGAGCACATGTTATGGTCAGTTTGCGCTGTTTTGCACAGGGCACGTGCGCATCGTATTTGTTCGCAGTGAAATGCAGCCAATTGTGATGCGCCATTTTGGTTGTGGAGGGAGGAGGAGGAATAAATAAGGAAGGACAGGGAGGTTAGTTTGGAAGTGCACAACAAAGGAAGGTCATTTTGCGCACTGAATATAGCTTGTCGTATCCTATTTGTGTGCCTGAGGCTTATGATCGTGAGTAGCGCAAACGGAGATCTTCAGCAGCACGTCGTTCAGGAGAAGTTAGTAACATTTTAACTCGGCAGTAATTTTAACTCGGCAGTAATTTCAGACACTCGTAAAATGCATGCATGACGAAAGTAGTGCTTTTTAAATCTTAAAAGAAATGCAAAAAAAAGAATCCGCTTTGCAATCATTAGCCGCTCAACATAAGCTTTGATAAGTTCGCAATCACTTATTTTCCCATGTGCTGCAATTTACATACATCACAAATATGTGCCACATTTCTTGTATGCACTAATTCTGTGTGCAGTTCGATCATGTACTCGCACGAGTAACGACAGCAACAAAGTTTCAGAAAAGAATGTTTTCTGCAAATTTACTAGCACAAGTATTGATTGTCTTCAGTGCGTTTTTAAAGTACCCCTAAGAGCAAAAGTTTGGTTTGAGACTTTTTTTACTTTAATTTGTAGCTTTTCTTCTGATAATGCCGAAATCGAATCGTAAATGCTCTAACACATAGTATAAACAATGCTAGCATCATTATTCAAAACGATTCCACGTTGGTACGAAATGCTTGTTTAAATATTACAAGAAACTAGTGCCCCACAGCAGGGAAGCTCTTGAGACAATAAACACAAGCTTCGATAATGCTGAACGTGTCGTTTTAAAATGTGGGGACCCTCAGGCGGCAAAGAATGAAACAATGTGGCTGCTTGGAGCGTGTCCCCCTCCGAAAACAAAAAGTACTCCTGGGGTACGAAGCCAGAACTAGCCAGAACCCCCTTGGGTGCAGCCGATAAAAGAGCGAGAAAGGTGAAGAACAATAGTTCTCGCCGGGTGTCAGTCGCAGTATTGAGCGCACCCTGCAAGTGTTCTTTAACGTCGACAATACCTCTGCCACGTTCCCTATCTACTACCAATTGCAGAAAATGTCGATTGGACCAGAATACTCGAATGAACATGCAATATTACTTTAAAACCAAATTAAAATACATTATAGGCAATGCTCATCACTTCTAAGTGGTCAGAAGTCCCCCGCATGCAGGACTTTCAACACAAGCATCTCGAGTTTCCAAAGTTGGTGTCGGGGGTCCTTTAACCTAATTTATTTAGCTACAATAAAAGCTCATTAACTCGGATCTCACAAGACCGGAGAAAATGTCCGAGTTAACCGAATTCCGAATTATCGAACGGACCATGAAAACAAAAGGAAAACGTACACGGCACAGACAAACCTTTATTTCTCAAAAAAGTGCCTTATTTTTGCCTGCCTCGCCGACAAAATTTCTGACAGAACGATCTTACTTAATCCCATCAGGTGGTGGTGCGCACATTCAATGTCGCAAGAACAAACGCAAAACTCCTCGAGAACAGCGAGGGCTTCGGGGGCAACGTCGCGTCCGCTCATCACGTCTTTCAATATCATAACCTTTCTTTCAAGATCATTTGCTGGCTGTTCTGGCTGCTTAACTCCTGTGACGGTCGTCATGAAGAGCAACGGCGGCGACAACGCGCACAAAGACAGCCGCAACACGCGAAGTCACAACACAAAGAACCAAGACACTAAGTAGTACACCAGTAGGCGTAGCATGGGCATAGCGAGCAGCTGTTAGTAGACACTAGATGCACCGGTGGCCCAAGCGCTTCCGTTGAGTAGTGCCACCTAGCCACTTCCCTCCATTTCACTATCATCATCGTCATATTCTGCTGCAGTTCGCACGATTTCGGTTTCTCCAAAACTCCGGTTCTGCCGTCGTTTACGGCAAACGGTCATTGAGCCTCCAAGCCGCCAAGATCGCGCGACTCTGAAGTCCCGTAGCCCTCTCTGAAGTGGTCCGAGATAACCGGTGCGCGGCTAAATCCCTGCGAATTTGACCTCATTGAAATATACACAGTTTTGCCGGGACCACGCCGCGAGTCCAAGTTAACTGAATTTTTGAGTTAACGAGGTCCAGATAAACGAGCTTTTACTGTAACAGCAAAGCTGCATACACCTTGCTCAACATGCACATATAGGTGAACGCACCTAGCTCGCAGAAGTTACCTTTTTTTTTATTGTCCTGGGTAAATTAGCATTACCGTTTACCCTGTCAAGAGTCAAGTGCATTTCTGTGTAGTACAGCAGTGAGCACTGTTTCCCCGCCACGGTGGTCTAGTGGCTAAGGTACTCGGCTGCTGACCCGCAGGTCGCGGGATCAAATCCCGGCTGTGGCGGCTGCATTTTCGATGGAGGCGGAAATGTTGTAGGCCCGTGTACTCAGATTTGGGTGCACGTTAAAGAACCCCAGGTGGTCAAAATTTCCGGAGCCCTCCACTACGGCGTCTCTCATAATCAAATAGTGGTTTTGGGACGTTAAACCCCACAAATCAATCAATCAAAGCACTGTTAGGGTGAACACGGCTCAGCGTGGCAATGAACTGTGGAGCGCCAGGGCAGCCAGCGTGGCCGCGCATCGAAACCAAGTGGCGCAGGCGCACGCGAGCGTGCCACTCTTGCTGTACTACAGACAAGCGAGACCAGCACTATGCTACTACGGAATGGTGCGCTCAAGCATTGTAGTCAACGACATAAACTAGCTGCTGTGTGTGCGCGTGCGTCGCTACGCTTCGATGCACACCCGCACCAGCTAACTGGCGCTGCTTGAAGCGTGGCCACGCGCTTGTGTGTTCACTCTGAGAGTGCTCACCGCTGTACATATGACAACACCATGCAAAAAATTCCAGACTAGTGTGAAAAGTACTACACCATAAATCATAATTTTTGTAGAGTTGGAAAGCATCCATCACACAATTATTCATGAATGCAGTTCTGCACAAACACCTAAATTAAGCAACCGTCTACATTCTAGCTACTGGTGGTGCCACAACACATGCGACATCCGGCATCAGGTAAGGCATAGAGTTTCCTGAACCCTGGCGCTGCAATCATTCAGCCCCCATAGGAACGAAAGGTAGTGCATAGACACCTAGTCTTCGTGCTTGTAGGCTTTGAAGACACTCGTGGTTTTGTTTATTGGCGAGCTTTGGTTTTGTTTCGGATTAAATAATTGACGGTTGCTAACTTTGTCAGCTGATTTGAATTAGTGAACCTAAAAGACTGAGGCGGTGAAGCGAGACAGCTGAACGTTTACTGAGCTTCGTCTTGTGACATAGCGGCTCCAGGCGTCGTGGTGCCAAACGAAGCCGAAAGTAGGAAGCAATCATCAATGCAAAGTTAGAATTTGTGTGTGTAACACCACATGTTTTTCAGAATAATTTATACCTCGTACATCACATGACTGGAATGACCTCCCGGCTGATATTGTCAGTATTATTAACAATGAAAAAGTTCGAAAGCATTACATCACATTGTACAGTAATAAGCGTTTGTGGGTACTAATGTCACCTCAACAGTTTTTTTATGGCATACCATTATTGCTGCTCCTGTCAATCTCATCATCTCATTTCAAATGAATCTGCAGTTTTTCATACATTTCACACACACAGCTTATACAGTATAAGCAACAATTCACACATTTGTTAATTATTTATTTTCTGGTTGAGTGCAATATTCGGCATACACAGCTAACATAGTATGATTAGCAAACATTGTACTAATTATGAATTGTGTTCATTTGTTATTTCTGCTGTCTCTCTTTCCCCCCTGCAACCCACTCCCCTATGTAATGCCGAAAGGCCTTGAGGGTATGAATGAATGAATAAATAAATAAATAAACAAATATACTAGCCACCATTTCCATGCCGCCTGAAGTGCCATGCGTTGAAACTCCCATAAACACTAGCACCAGAGTTTCCTCTAGCGTACCGTTAGGAAACTATGACGTAGGGGACCCCAGTGAGCCCACTAACTTATTACAGAAAACTCACTTTAGCTAGGCATTCTAGGATTGGAAACATCCAATGTTACGTACACAAACTTTCCTTTCCTTGGGGTATGGTTGAAGGCAATGCCCACAGTGTGTTCTACTCTTGGAAGCAAAGATCAAGTACCTTCCCAGTTTGTCACGCTGAAACAAAATTACTGTGTACAAACAAATGCACTCCCAGGTAAAGACAGCAACATAGCATCAAACAAATATCTCAATGGTCACAATATTGGGGACCAACTGTTCTTCCTCGACAACAAGTTATCGTGCACAACTCACTCTCTAACGGTGAGCTCGTAGACAAATGCCTGAAGCCAAGCTGTTGCACTTGGTTTCACGCACTTGTGAATTTAATCTCGCCTACGCTTCGGTGCATATCAACACAGAAAAAAAAAAAACGTTTGTAAACAAACCTACCTGCATCGGACTGTGCACCAATTGCGCCGTAGGCGTAAACTTGACGGGCCGGTATCCCGGCGTGACGCTGCCATTGACGACGTCAGTCGCGTGCGACGCTGCGCCCTCAGCACTGACCTTGAGCGCAGCACCGTTCGCTGCTGGCTCCATCCTCACCCCGCTGTTGTCATTCGACCACGGGCTCCATACTGCACGGGAAATAGAGCATTCTTGACGGCCGCGAAACTTCCACACTCGTGGCCGAAGCGCATCGTGCACGGAAGTCGACAGCAATGAGCGCCTAACTACGAGACGCGTTGGAAAATTTTTGCAAGGCGAGCATCACGTATCGCCAAGCACGCAGTCGTGAACGCCGGCGCGGCGGTGCACCAAGCACCGACACTTAGCAATAATTGTAGCAACAGACACCTTCTACCAGCGCACGAGTTCGTAGCAAGCCCCAGCGCAAGGCTTTCCATACAGTGCTCGCAGGTCGAGGCATTACAAGGAAATGTGGAGCATTTCTGCTATCTGAAAGTGAGGTCGAGCGACTAACGTTACCAGGCATACAGTCTTTACAGGCCGACGACAGCGCGGCCACTGCGATGCATATCTTCGAATGCGTCGTCATCAAGCTGAACTACTTACCTGCGCATGTTTACTGCGAGTTCGACAAGCAATCCCGCACCTAATCGCGAACCACCTGTTTACACCCACCTTCATTCGCGTATTGAAAAAGTCAGAGAGTCACCATATAAAGGTATAGTCAAACAACACGCTTGCTTGAAGGCAAACGGTGGCAAAGGGTCACGTGGCATTAAGACGCCATGTTTTAAATTCTTTATATATAAACTGTGCTTCGTTCGCGATTCTGCACGTATTGTTTTCATATTTTCATAAGTTAAAATTCGCTCACTATGCACATTTTTGTACGCTTTCTTCATTCTTTTTGCTACTGCACCGTTTGGCTCGCCAGATAAAGCCATGCATCATGCGTTTCTTCTCGCAGTTGCTGGTCACGAAAACATTGCCAGACGCTGCCAAATCTCGTGTTTTAGTTAAAGACGGTGTGAATGGCTGCCAACAAAGCGCAAGGAGTTCCAAGCACCACCAATTCCAGGATTGAATCACGCCGTCGCGGCATTTTCGATGGAGGCAAAAAGAGCCACGCGTCTACTCAAAACAAGTCCGCGGCATTTTCTCCTCAAAGGTGGGTGCACGTAAAATTGCTGTCCAAATTGGTGCAATGAGCCGGACAGCCGGTGACCGCACCTTCGGAGAGCTGATTGCTTGAGTGGGACGACTTCTTATTAATTATACAACACTCGATGTTCCGACGTCGTCTTCAAATTTCTCTAGTAGAAAGTATTGAAAACAAGTCATGAGACCTGCAAACGTCTTTTCTAGTGCTTCCTGAGGACAGCAATTCGTCCTGGAAAAATTCTTTGGGGATTTGATAACAGAAACGTACGCACTAAGATTACAATGGACTACAAGTGGGCAGCGGAATGAACGAGGCGGCCGCGCCGTATATTGACTGATTCTCTAGCGGGTGACACTAGCGGCGGCGCTAGAGTCGCATAGGGCAAAAGATCTCAGGCGCGTCTGCATTGGGAGCGCGTGCGAGTAGCCCGCGAAATCGCGTATTTGCTTGTTTTTAGCGCGTTTAGTATGTTTCAGAGCCTTTATCTCTGTATGCACACCTGCTAAGCGCAATGGTGCACGAGTAAATATGCAGACACGCAGAAATTGCGTCAAGACATTCAATGTTTCAAGAGCCTACCGACAAAAAATAAACATGTAGTACAATCGGAATTTGCACGGATCCGCCTAGCTTTTCACTCAAGCAGTGCTTTGAGCTGCGCTACATCATAGGTGGCTACTGGCGAACTATAAAGAGGGAAGTATCAAAACCGCGAATGAATCATGCGCTCGTTTTGTCGGCAGTTTCTATATCCAGAGCACTCTTCCTCATATAAGTCCACATGCGCTCGATTGTTTCATGATAAACCCGATTATAATTATTATTGTCACAACATTTATGTCAGTGATGAGTTAGTTTTATCATGCCAGTTTTGCGGAAAATAATAATTAATGCTTTCTGAAAGGCTTTCTTGTTTTAACCGCGTGCTTTCGCGCTCACTTAGCTTCTTTTAGGCAATCTCCAGGAGGTCGAGCCAAGGAGCCAAGCAGAAAGAACGCCTGCACCTCCTAGTCAAGAACTCCTATGCAAAAGCGGTTATCTTGAACATATTAAAGAGTGCCAATTGTATAGTATACATAGCCCGTCTGTTACTCTGCATAAATTCACCATAACCAGTTCTCGTTTTGTATCGCCAGCTTAATTTGTACTGCTTTCCTAAAGATATATTGGCGTAACGCCGTTGCAAGCGAGAAAACTTATGACGATGTTGAGTATTATAGGTGTAGTTCTTTTGTTAAGTGTGAAAAATGTAGGCAGGCGTTAGTGCATTTTGTTTTGAGAAATATAACTTGTATATATACACAATAAACACACACACACACACACACACACACACACACACACACACACACACACACACACACACACACACACACACATATATATATATATATATATATATATATATATATATATATATATATATATATATATATTAACAAGTACACGCATTTAAGTCACACGTCACCACCCCCTTAACAATAATATCCATGCAAGGCCCCTTAGAACAGCCGCTATTTTTACCCCATGCATTTTTCGTCCAACTACGCTAGACTTGAACTAGTTTTGAGACCTCATACTGTCGAAAAGGTGAAATTCACAGTGCGCATTAATACAGAGGCACGCTATACTCAGCTTCACCAACTGTAAACGTTCGGCGCAGGGCTACCCAGGATTTTTGTTTTTTTTTTAGGGTTGGGGGGTGGGAGGTGCAGCAGAACGACTAACTTTGGCGATTGGTCGTCGCTGTGAATACGTGTAAATATTTTAGTATAACCTGAAAAGTTAAATTTAGTATACCCTGAAAAGTTAAATGTAGGGGCACAGTGGCTGGAATAGGAAAGTGCGATGAGCGGCAAGCGGCGCCTACGGAGCGCACTGAAGCCTTCGAGGAGTGGCCGCGTAGGGGCGCGCGCAATCGTTTGCTTTCGCGCTTACTTAGCTTCTTTTAGGCAATCTCCAAGAAGTCAAGCCAAATTAAACCCTTCACTGCAAAGTACAAATGCTCAACCTAACTTTTTATGAAAAAAAAAAACAAATCTAGTTTTTAGTTCATTAAGAATTACGGCTTGGTAGCGCTAACCACCACCCAATCTAAAGGGTACAGCCATATTCATCTATCTATCTATCCATTCATCCATACGTGCATTCATACATAAAAGTATGGGTTGGCAAAGAGTCAAGCTAGTGTGGCTAGCAACCCTAGTCAAGCAGGGATGCAAGCACGGAGGAAGGAAAAAGGTAAGGAGAGGGCATGCCCAGCCGGCGCAAGGCGTAAAAAATGTGGCGGAAATGACATCATGGCGGCCATAGTCAGTAGGCACAATGGCGGCGTTGTTATGGTTACGTGTTGCGCAGTGAAGCTGGTCTAGCAATGAGCGGCCGCGGCTGGCGGCGGAATGTGTGCCTCCCCAGGTCTCGTGCTGAGCCGTGGCGGACAATATCTGTGCTCTGCGCCGCGTTAATGGTTACGCAGTGTTCTTCTGGCTGTTACATTACTCTTAGCAACGTTTACAAATCCCTTTGTCCATCACGGGGTTTCAACAGTGCGTAGAACAAGTGCATATCCATGTGTCGTGCGGCGGATGAAGCAGTTAGTGTTCAGTGAAATGGCGTTGGGCACCATGACGAAGCTGAATGACGACGAACGCCTTGCAGGTCAGTGACGGTTGAGCAGTGCTTCTGCTTGTGACAACGGACGGCGCTGTTGAGCCCAGCAAGACGCCGTGAGGACCATGTGCACATACGTAGTTTCGTGTTGTGTGTGTACAGTAACAACTTGCATGTGCGTATTAAAACACCTTTTCTGTTCCGCTTGGTACACTCTCCACCAGCATTGCATGTAATCTCAACGTAACAGCAAACACTCAACTGTCACTAGCACCGTGCTCAAAGTCACCACGGTCGCAGAATGCTGACGCAGGTGAGTTTCACGCGGAACACGGACACAGTGGCAGGACGCTGCGTAAGTCGCGGGGCGGAATGCAACCGTAGAAGGCGCACGACCGATCGTGTTGTCTGTACAGTTGCTGAATTAATGACGTGAAAGCACTCGCCGTTGTCAGTGCATCTAGCGCGCGTTCTCTCGTAGTTGCTTCGTTGTCGGCGGGCTGTTACTCCCTGTTATTACTCGGACGAAGCGATTTCGCTGAATGTGTCCTGCTGGCTCAAAGTGATGAGCCCCGTTCCATTAGTTTCGGATCGTCACGACACACGCGCTGCGCAGCCCACGTGCTTTCCGAGCCGGAGAGGGAGTCGCGCCTTCTGCTTCGCATTCATGTGTAAACAAGAGAGGAGAATTTCCCTAGTCAATATGGCCGACTTCTGGCTTCATCGCGGCTTCACAACGAGTGACGTCAGGACCTCTCCTTACCTTTTCCTTCCTCCGTCGATGCAAGGAACATTTATGGTTAAGAGGGAAAGTAGCTAGGCAGGTGGCACTCCTCGGTTTGGTGTACTTGTAGACGGGAGCAAAGGCCAGAGAGGAAAACCAGGCAATGGTGGAGGAATTGAGGACATTGAGGAATTAGGAGGAGACTGTGAGATAATTATACTAGGAGATATGAATGCGCACATAGAAGATATAGATGGGTATACTGACCCAACAGGCAAATTGATGATGGCTATGTGTGAAAGGCATGATTTAATCATTTGCAACAGTATTGAGAAGTGTGAAGGGCAAATAACATGGGAGGTAGGAAGGCTGCAAACGACGATAGATTATGCACTGATGTCACATAGGATGTATGATAGGCTCAGGGGAATGCACATTGATGAATATGACTCCAGAGGATTGGGTATGTGAGGTTGAGGTTGAGGATGTTGTAGGTAGCCGGCGGATCTAGCCTTGCATAATTTGCAGGCAATTGCCCCGCCCGGTTTTCTCTTTGCTTGTTGTAGCTAATCCCATTTGTTTTTTAACTAAGCACGAGCAGGCTTTTAAAATAAAAATCGTGCATAGTGCGACGTAATCCTGCATAAGACGGCGGCCTTTGTGCTATTCCA